ACTTTTAAACTCCATCTCCGTGGGTATACTCAAATATGTTCCCTTGTCAGTTAGAGGAACGGACGAAGTAGTTATACATCATCCACTCGTAGTTCTACCTCTTGTTCTTTCTATCCTACAGATCTTTGTCATTTTTAGTGCATTAAAAAATGTGCTGCCACCGCTTTCTTTCATACATAACGATATTTGTTCAAATGCGGAAATAAAACTAAGTTTAAAGAAGCAACTAATAATAGTGACTTTTGTAGTTATTTTTATCCAGTTCTATTCCCACTCTGTCCTTTTGATATGCAAACCAATTTCCACGCTTTTTGGTCCTAAGTATCTTGAGCCCGTAGCGTTTTTTGAGAATTGAATTATTTCCCAAATATCTCTTCTTTGAGTAAATCGCCAAAATAATTTCTGAAGTTTGTTTCTTAGTAAAAGGATTTAATTTGGTTTCGACATTTGAGCAACTATCGTTATGTATGTAAGAAAACTGGCAGTACATTTTGTTAATGCACTAAGAATGACAAAGAGCTACAAGATAAAAAGAACAAGAGCTGGAACTATATGTGGATGATGTATAACTACTTTGTCCGATGCTCTAGCTGGATATTATATAGCACTATAAGAAATCGTTTTAGAAAGAGACTCAGACGATTGAAAACGCTAAGTGGAAATAATTTCGGCGCAAGCTTAAATAGATATAGTATCGTGATATAGACATAAAAATAATAATATTAAAATGGTTGAAAGTAAGGTGAGAAAATGATTTAAATCATTTTTTTGTCACACGAGTAAATATTTTAATGATACGTAAAACAGCATTATTCAGCATTTTTTGTGACCGTTTACCTCCATTTTTTTTGTTGAGATATTTACCATTAAAATGCCATTTTTTCATTAAAATATCTGCTTGGGTATGGCGTCTTTTGCTTCAGTTTGAACAGAGCTGTACTACATTTTTAGCAATATAACTATAATCTATTATAGATTATACTCTTTAATCAATAAGAGAATTTATTTGTTTGATGGCATCGCAAACTAAAGTTTGGATTAGGTTCGAAGAACATGAACCTGAAAAAGTAACTCTTGATTTTGGCGCAGACATTGACGATCTCAAGGAAGAAGCTCTAAAAGATATCAAGGAACCAAAGCGAAACTTCAGTGCATTCTTCAAACAGACGCAACTAACTCCTGCTACGACCGTTCCATCTGATACATCATATGATGAACCAATTGTACTGAAACGTACACAACTATCAGCACCAACTATTTGTAAGTGGATTATTCTATACATTGTGTTTTCTTTGATTGAAGATATATTTTATTTCAGCGACTTCATCTAAAGTGGTCGAACCGAATGATGCGAACAGTTCAATACAAGACTCAGAGCCTGTCGATCATCAGTAAGAATTATATGAAGTATTAATAGATATAATAGATGAAAACTAATTTAGATCTGATATGCCACCACCGTATGACACTGTCATGATGCAATCATCAGAAGTATCTGTACAACAAATTAATCTTGATTTTCCAGAGAAAGCGTTCAATGCATTTAGTTTTGAAGAATCAGGCATGTTTTTTTCATTGTAATACATATTTCTCAAAATATATTTCACTTTTTCTAATAGAATGGAAGAAAATCGTTCATGATCATCAGACAAATGCGTGCATTGATCTTTCGAAATTTCTCGAGAGTCGAACCAGCATTTATACTAGCAATGTTAGTTTTGAGCAACTAAGTTTTGACCAACGTCAACTACTGGCACTTTCTGACCTCTTGAAAGGTAAATATATACCTGATCCAAATGGCCCCTTGGATATTTCTTTCAGCACAATCATGGATAAACCATTAGACGATCACATTCATATTGATATCATCAATCAAAAACAAAGTTTAACGCCATTTATCATTAACAGTCTAAAGCATAAGCATGCACTTACAGATATACACCAATTATTCACTAAATGTGTGAAATCTGTCGCCAACTTTGAAACAACCGAACTAACTGACCTATTCCTGGAAACTGTTGATACTATAACTACACGCACTCTTCTTGTGATGGCCTTTGAAAGTTTATCATTGAAAAGTCAGCGTTATCTCGGAACTTTCATACGCAAGAACGATTTACCATTACCCTTAAGCTACTACATTGCTAGTGGGGATGATTCTTTTGCTTCCTATAAGATTAATTTCAACTGTCTTATGGAAGTGCTCTGTCTTAGCACAGATAGAATATACCTGCAAGTTGGTAGCAAACGATGTACGAGTTTGGGAAAGACGAGCTTGTTATCATACATATTTGCTGGCAAAAAGTATGAGTCACTTTTTACTGACAAATCAGATGCAGCCTTCCGCGCATCGTGCATTGACGTGCTTTTCGCTTCTGCTGCTTCTTTACCTTACGTTATCTTCGATGTACATGGAACTGTGCACCATCAACAAAACCTTTCACTGATACGCGCTATACAGTTGTACGCATCTATTCAAGTACTATATGTTACAGCGGAAGATCTAGAGGAGACAGATAACTTCATTGAACTGATGATGTCTACAGTAGGCCAGTTGCCGACTATCGTATGTATTGTTGATGATAAATTTGACACTGAACCAGTTTCCACTCAGAAATCTCAAGAGCGATTGATCAATTGTTTTCAAAATGAATTTTCTCAAAAACAATGGGCAGCCAACATCCGCTGGACAACCGTTCCTTCATCCAATACGACCAAGGATTTGAATCAACTTAGAAAGAAACGGCGTGCAGAACGACTCAGTGCAACTTTTACTAATTTGTTTCAAGAGCTCAACGAAGCAATTATTAACCGACCATCTTTTCATTCTATCTTTGCTATTCAATCAACATATCTCACCAATTGCTTTGATACTACTCATCATATGACCGTGCGACATGCAGTATTCAAAACGGACGACGAGCCCAACAATTTCTTTGAGCATCCATGTGGTCAAAATGAGAATGTCACAACCAATACGTCCATTCCCAATTGTCCCTCGCAAACTGAACCTGCCGACAAACAATCTTCCAATATAGTCAGCTGCACAAATCTAAGTGAGTACCCTAGCTCTTTGGAAGCTTTTTCACATACAACAACATCACAAACTACGGCACCAATAATAGATCATAATACGGAAAACACTTTAGCCGAAATACAAACAGAAAATCTTGCCCCAAAGTTAGAGCAAAAAGTGAAAGATTCAAAATCTATGGAATCGACTATTGTAGAATTTGAAATCATTTTTTCTTGTATTCGCCAAGAAAAATATCAATTAGCAGATTTAGTACAAATGGGTGAGCTGATTTATATTACAAAAACATTAAGGGATATATTACAGGATATTTTTAATCGATACAAACAACATCAGTCATTTTCACAATTCGTAAACGATTGTTTAACACCAATGATATATTTATTAAAACGACAACAAAATCTAACAAATTTCATGAAAACATTATTTAAACTAAGTAAATCGATGAAACTGGATAAATCTCTAGCAAAACCTCTTTCAAAACTCAGTTTACGAATGCTTATAGACGTACTTCTAAGAAGTTCCGATGATTTAGTTTCTCGAATAGTTCTGTTACTTTTAAGTAAACAGAATCCTGTGCCACTTTCGCACCCAACACTTCAAAAGATGGAAATAACACGTGAAATGTTTTATCTTTGGAGTTTCAATTATCCAACAGTTTTGTCATTTGGTGTTGGTTCATGTACTGGAAAATCTTCATTATTAAATTTACTATTTATGTCTTCTTTTGAGCAACACGTAGAAAGCATTTATTTCCAGAGTACCATTGACATTGATTTTGGTTATCATTTTACCGTGAAACGTCCTCTGAATATTGCTGATATCCATGGGCAGCCAACATTAGAATTTATTGAAAGACTCCAAGTTCTATTCGATGGATTTATAATACATGTCACCAATGATTATCTACAAAACAATACGGGTCAACTGTTCAAGTTCCTAAGTATCTTGCCAGTACAAAAGCTTCGCATGATTATTGTGCGAGATGTTCCCGATGACGTTGATATAGATGACGACGAGAACTTTCCAGATTCATTATCACAATTTTCTAAATGCCAGTTGCCAGATTTAAGGAGTCAAGATAACAATCAAAATGAACATTTAGTGGAAAAAGTACGTGATATGATTTTTAGAGATGTCCGAAAGAACTTCTATATAGCTAACACTTGGTCGTCACAAGACCCAATGATAAAAAAAGATGGCAAGCGAATACAAATTAAAAATCTAATAAATGCAGATTATGCTATGGCAATGCAAAATAGTACAACAGTAGTTTCGCAACTAAAGGATCATTTACTCGATGTTCAAAAACAAGCAACTAAAATAAGAAATGAATACTCTCAAAAGCCTGAAGGAGGCAAAGTTCTGCAAGAAATTCTAAAATCTTATTATCCGGTCTATTTATTGTTCGTTGAATGTTGTCGGTTGATGCAACAGCTAACAAAAATTACTTTTTATGGTGAACAGAGTGATAAAATTTTTAAAATACAAAATGATTCATTTAAAAAAAATCAAGAATTAGCGAATGTTAATCAGCACGAATGTGGCGTTATCTTTCAAGATTTTCTTCAGTTGCTCGACGAACAAAATGCATCGATGTTGATGAATCTTGACACTTTATCATTAGAATTAAAGCTGGAAAAGAGTTTTTTACTATCGGAGAACTTATTAGCAGGAGATCTGTCAGTTGAAAATGCTCTTTCTATCGAAGTCTTGTGGCGTAATGCTATTGTTTGTTATAAAAGTCAACCACCGAATATACAAAAATGTATAAGGGAATCTTATTACAAATATACCGAAGCTGGCTTTCCATTTGAAATCGTTGATGGTGATAATTTTTGTTTACAATATGACTTTTTACGTGAAGCTCTGTCGAATTTTCAAAACAAAAAAATTCTTGTGATCAGTATCATTGGACCTCAAAATTCTGGTAAAAGTACATTACTTAACTATATGTTTGGTACTTTATTCGATGTTCGAGATGGACGATGTACAAGAGGTATATATGGTTCTCTTGTTAAATCTAATTCAGCAGAGTTTGAATACATTATGTTAATTGATACTGAAGGATTGTCATCTGGTGAAAAAGAAGATTTAGAATACGATCGGCGAATCGTTTTATTTTGTTTAGCTGTTAGTCATCTGGTTATCATAAATATCAAAGGTGAATTAGACAGTACAATGAACAAAATGGTCACATTATGTGCTCATAGTTTACAAAATCTTGGTGTTAACAGAGTTCCTGAACCGATGGTGCATTTCGTTCTTAACCAAAAAGCATTTGGTTTAGATATAAAAAACCATGATGAAGTTATAAGCAAGCTTTTGGGAAATTTGAAGAAAGACAATTTGGATAAGGTTATTGCAATTACTCCAGATACATTTCATACATTACCAACAGCCTATAAACCGGAACGACTAAATCTTAATGAAGAAAAACTGGAGCAGATGCCTCGTGTCACCCATACTATACCAGATTATATAGAACACGCACAGCTTCTATGTGGAAAACTAATGAGTTCTGCTACGCAATGTTTTCTAAAATCAATGGCACATTTTTCCGATGCACCTCAATGGCTCACATTTTCTAATACCGTCTTTGATGTGTTGTTGAAATTTCCCGATCTAACATATTTTGTTGATATTCACGAAAAAAATCAAGATCTGATTATTCGAGAACATGTGCGACAAGCAATAGAAAGGAAATTAACCGTATCTCAGCGTGACATAATCATTACTGAAACACGCTTATCAACTGAAAAACAACTTGATGAGCATATTGATGGATTCTTTGCTGAAGTCTTAGAGAATTTGAGACATGACTTAGAAGAAACACTAACTGAACATCAGGCATCACAAACAATACGAAAACGCGGTAATGAGTTTCTGATTACACAGTTAAGCGGCAATAAAAATGCATGGAAAACTACAGCACTTCAAGCAAATGATCGCGTCAGAACAGAAGATTTATGGCACACAGGAGGTGAAGAAATGAGGCAGCTGGTCGAGGATTCAATAAATAGCGGTGTAAAATATGAAAAAGAATCTGCCGACAAGAAGTTTGAAAAAATGTGGGATGACAAAATTAACAGTATTCGAAACAAATTCAAAGAAGATGAACGTTTAGAAATTGCAATTAAATATATTTATCCGAACTACCACAGCTTCGAAAAGAAGAATTTACCCGCAAGCGATTATATTTTAAGATTGGTTCCACAAATGAAACAGCTCACTGAACCCGAATTGACTTCAATAAAAAATAAGATGCGAGAAATATTCATTCGTGAAGTGTCAGATCATGCAAATATTGAAAAGCATCGAATTGTGCGTGACGCTTTGCCTGAATATTCACTAGAAACTTTGAGAAACTTGAAGTACCTTAATGACAATATTCTCTGTGCATTATTTAATAACGTCGACCTATCGCGAAGCTATGATCTTCATGGATATACTGGTGAAAATATGTTACACACAAGCGCATTTAAATCTACGTACCAATCAAAGCCAACGGAGCAATCGTCAGTGTTCAGTATGTTTAGTAAAGACAATATTAAGAAAGGTATTCAGTATATTGTTTCGGGTGGAAGAAATAAAAATAAGAAGTACACATCTACAGATGTATCTTCACAGTCAATTCCATTATCTTCCGGAGAATTTCGAAAACATGTGGTTAAATTACTGAATGAGGAAGGAGTACATGACAATAAAGAGAAAATTTTACCATTGTTAGCTATATATGATTACATATATGATCAAATTATAAATTTGTTACATCGTAATGGGATAGGAGCTGTTGCGATCGAAATCGATATCATACAAAAACTTGTTGGTATAATCAATACATTTCTGAAAGAAATCGATTTAGACCTAAACTTATTCCATACATCATTGTCGAAACACGTTGTATCATCCTTTCATACAGTGTGTGTTTTGCTATTAACAAGATTTTATTTTAAAGAACAAAATGATCATTTCAATCAACAAATTCATGCACTTAAGCAAATGAAATCCGGCCTAAAAAGTTATTTTTTACGTATGGTAGTCCCAAATATTGAAATGGATTCTGGTTTTGCTAAAAGTTCTACTGAACGAATTGCTGATATTTTGCAAGCGACTTTAAATCAAAAAGCTACTTTTATAATTGATAATGAACTGAAAGATGAAACAGAATTTTCTCGTAAAACTATACAACTTCAATGTGACAAAGCTTATGTAGGTCATAAGAAAAGTTCTGATACAGAAACGATCGACTGGCACATTGAATATATTATGGACCCAACTAAAATCATCGAGCAAGGTTTCGAAAAAATATGGGCAAGAAAAGAGCGTGATATTGAAATATTAATAAAAAAAGAACGTGATCAGCTCGCAGAAGTATTTGCTGATTATGTGTTTGTACTACAGCGTATACTTGAAAATCTCAAGAGTAAAAAATTATCTAAATCTGGTGTGCAGTTAATTGATAATTTGTTTGAAACATCAACAGGAGAAGTTGGTCAAAATTTAATCAACAAAGGTAAATGTATAGCAACAGTTCTGTATAATTATCTTTCAAATCAAAAAATTCAAGAGAAATATAAAGTCGCTGATACTGAATACATTCTTAAAGATGTCAATCTGTTTCGGATGTTAGTTGAACCCAAGCGAACCGTTATAGATATAATGAATACAGAGCAAATGAAAAAAGAATATGAACAATGTTCGATTAACGATCTATTTCGTTTTCTTGAAAACTTAATTGACTTTGGACAGGCTAAGAAGAAAGAATTTGAACAACTTCCAGTGGATCTTGTCAATGTGGATTCTAATGATCGAAAACGTAAACTATTATCTAAAGCCAAAGGATGTGAAATTTTGTGTCCCTGTTGTGTTCGTCCATGTGATGTCGATCATACAAAAACTAAGGCAGCATCCGGTAGTGAATACAATAAACATCAATGCCAAACAGGGCATCAGTACAGATGTATGGGTGGTACAAAATTAGAATATACGAATGAAGCGTCGGTAAAAATGTGTGAAGAAATAAAAGACGATGACATGATTGTTACAAGCACAGGGCGTATTAGTTGGAAAGAATTTAAAGATATTCACACAGACTGGGATTTTGACACTCGACACCTATCAGCAACAAAAATTGAGGAGTTGAGAATGAAATACGCAACAATTTGGGGATTAATTGGTAAGAAGTTATGCAACGATTTTTATCCGGGCATGGCGTATGTAGAGACAAATGTAGAGCCGACACAACATTTTATACTACTTCTGGATAATTCTGGTTCAATGAGGGGATCAGCACCTAATAGTCGATGGTCAGATTTGCTGAATGCTGTTGAAAGATTTTTAATTATAAGGAAATCATCGAAGACAGTGGATGTAATATCTGTAATTATATTTGGAGACCGTGCAGCAATAGCCTGTTGTAATGAATGTATTAAATCTTTCGATGTTATGTCAAAAATCAAAGAAAAGGAAAATACTGTTGGTAGTGGAACGAATTTTTCAAAACCAATCGCTTTAATCAAAGATACAATCGATGTTGCAAATAATAAGAAAGTTGTTACGTCATTAGTTCACTCGGTTATTTTTCTAAGTGACGGTGAAGCATCGTATCCAACCACGGAATTAAAGATGTTGAAGGTTAATTGTGGTTCTATGATAGCAAACTTTTGGTCAATGGGTCTTGGTACATCTAACTTTAATGTATTAGAACGTATCAATAAAGAAATGAATGGAACATTCATTAATATCGGCGATTCGAAGGATTTGGTTACAGCTTATGCTGAAATTGCATCTGGTCGTTTATCAAAAAAAACTCCATAGTCAAACAGTATTGAACAACAAAAAGGCTTTATTTCATAACCACTTATTCGACTTTGTTTAAGATGTTTAACTTTATCTTGAACTCTTCTTCTCTTAGTTTGTTTTTATATTTTATTGATCATTACTATTACTCAAGACAATATATTAATCTGGCATAAAATTATAAAGACGAATAACACGTTTTTTGATTGGAGCACAATTGATAGAAATTTTCCCGTGCCTAAAAGAAAGTTGAATTAGTCCTTTGTACTACTTCTTAATCCTTTGCCGACCGAATTGAGGGTGAGGCTGTGGGTTTAACATAATACTATCTACACTCACACCCATACCATCCATACATTTTCTATTCAAGCATACAGTTTTCACATATAATAAAATCACATTCGCCTATATTGATAATTCATGAATCTCATTTGTTGATAGAAAACTAAGTATGTATGTGTGCAGATCTCCTGTTTATCTGTCACACGCAGCCATATACACATCCATCTGCTTTATTCAGATCTGTTTTTCATTCATATAATTGTTTGGACAAAGTATTAACATACTATGAATGTATTTGATAGGTAATTATTATGTAAATCAAAACAATAATAACAAAAGGTCGACATTCTCATTTTGATAATTTCATGTAAAACTGGAATAATGATGCACTTTTTCTTCAATTACAAGAACATATGATCTTTGAGGTTTCAAGATAAAATCTTCGTCCACTCCCATCATCATACCATCAAGATAGACTGTGAAAAAGTACTTCAGCATGTCTCACATCTCCGATTTCCAGGGTAGGTGACACTACTACAAACGAACAACACTTTCATAATAAAATAAGCTTCTACCTGAAATAGAAATAATCTTCTATACTCCTTGCTTGTAGTGACAGAAATGACATATTCTTAGAGTATTCAGAATAGACTGGAAATACATGCATTTTAATAATTGAGGAAATGAAAATGGAATGTTGATGTTTTGAAGATTAAACATCACATACATATTATGAGATATTTCTTTATTTTTTTATACTTGATAGATTGACATATTTGAGACTGACTAGATGGTACTCGTATCTCACTCGACTACAAAATATAATGCGACGCTCAATATCACAATCACGATTATAATAGAAACGAATGATACTTGTTTGATCTTCATATATTCATCTCCCATTCAAACGGGTACTTTCTAATGTTCCATTGCTGAGACACTGTGATCCAAAATGACAAGTTTGTATGCGTAAGTCGAGAAAATAAGAAAGAAAAAAAAGAAGAAAACTCATGAAGGACTATAAAATACTTTTACTTCGCATCGGATTAAAAATAGAAAAAAATAATAAGAGGAAGAAAACTCCTGGAGAGCTGTATAATTATTTTGCTTCACATCTCATTAAATATTAATCTTTGTCCATCGTTCATTCAGAGTGAGATAAATATAAACTTTGTTTTTTTCTTATTCATTTTATTAGATACATTAATAGTCATAAACAAGAATCCAGTAGTTTATTATCGTCTGAAACAGCTGGTTGAAAATAACACAAGTCTATTTCTGTAGAAATAGTTGCAAAGTATTATTCGTTTGATTTACATTGAATAATGTCTTTTGGAAATAGTTCAGACGATGACAGTGAGTCTTTCAGTAGTTCGGAAATCTCGATTCCACGTTCAGTCCGGTTTTGGTTGATGCTATCATTCAATATTCCATCATTGATTTGTAGCTTCTGCCTTATCATTCATATTCTAATGAATCGAACCCATCGACATGCATTGCATAATCATACTATTCTTGTCATATTAATCTTTGGTTTGCCAATTCAATTAATCGATATTAATTTCTATCTTATATTATTTTCTTATGGTTCTATTCAACCATCAACACCGTTTGTATGTCTTCTTTGGTGGTTCATTGATTATTGTTTCTATGTTGGTGGAATCGTTCTCATGGCTTGGTTAGCAGTCGAACGACATATTTTCATTTTTTATGATCGATGGGTGTCAAATCGAAGAGGACGTTTTCTTTTTCATTATCTTCCTTTGATCATTATAGTCACATATATCCTTCTTTTCTATCTGATTGTCATTTTTTTTCTACCTTGTGAAAATATGTATTTTTACACAGTTCCCTTATGTGGTACCGCACCATGTTATGAATTCAATAATATTCTGGGTATGTGGGAATTTATTGCTCATACAGGCACACCAATTCTGTTAGAAGGTATTGCAAGTATTGCTCTTGTTTTACGTGTTCAAATGCAAAAACGACGACTTCGTCAGTCTAACCAATGGCGTCGACAACGGCGAATGATTATTCAGTTACTTTTAGTTACAACCTTAAATATTGGTATTAATTTTTCAGGCAATTTAATACTTCTTGCACATTTATTGGGTTTGGCCCCGGAATATGGAGCAGAAGCTCAGCTTTATTTCTCTTTTCTTGATTACTTCGTTATTTTTCTCTTTCCATTCATATCTCTAAGTCAGTTTCCAGATTTACGAAAGACAATGAAGAAGAAATTATTGGATCTAGTGCGAAGACAACCACATCGTACAGCCACTGTTACATATACAAGAAGAGATATACCAATGAATAGAATGACCTGATATAATACAATACATAACATATTTTATTTAACAATTCTGTTTATTTCTTCGTTTACTTTTGTGCGTTTTTGTCTATATTGTTATTTCTCCTTCTACATGTTTTCTCGTAAGTATTGTGCTTTAGTGTGCTTGAATAGAATCATGTTGAGTGCATTTTTATGTAATTACTAATCTTTTTCAATAAACTAAACATGTCTAACAACTACATTCTTCTGAAATGGATGTGAGTGTTGTGTTTTTCTCTTACACACATGCTCAATGTATATTAGAAGTTATTTGTATGAGAGACTTCGTGTTACTATTGATAAAAACTGAGATTAGATGGATAAAATTGATCTTTTGTATTAACACCGCTTTTACACAAATATTTCAGAAAAATAATTGATTTACAGATATATATCATAGGTGTTACTCAATAAGATACTGCAAATGAATAACTTCGTCAGCGATATCTGTAAAAAAAAATTTTTTGTAAGATTTTATTATTAGATGTGTGATACAAACAGACAACATCAATTTAAATGTGAACTATTCGGATGATTTTTAGATTAGCTTATGCCAACGTTATAAATATAAATTTTGATATTGTGAACGATGAATATTGGATCAGTATTGCAATCTCATTTATGTAACATGGGGTTGTCTATTTCCTTCAGCCGTTGTGTGAACTCTTCTCTTCCTTACTACTAAACTAAATAATTCACGACGAAATTCGCTGAATGTCGCCAAGTAGATTGGAAGATTCAACACAGGATATGTGTACAAAACCATGTCAAACGTATTTAAGATGCGACGACCCACAACACTTGTAGTAAGGTTATTATAGAAATAACCGTAGGAAACTTGAGATGGTATGTTTAAAATGAACAGAAAAGTTGTAAGTATAAGCGTAATAGATATAGCTCGATGTCGAACACGTGAATTTTGTACCATAGATGTGCGTCGTAGTCGAATGAGATGGTATATTGAAACACTGTTCAATAATATCATCAATAAGGAAGGTATACAAATACCAATAAAGAAAAACACTTGATTGTATGTTGGATTGAGAGTATAAAGATGTGCATCTCGGATGATCTGCCCATTAGCATCACGATAGCATACAAATATCAAAAAGTGAAAATTATAGAGAGCAAAAAATACAACGATACCACTGATAATAATGAGCACGTTTTTTGATCGATTGAACCAAGTATTAGGTTGAAGACGACTAAGAGATAAATATCGATCAAAGCAAATGAATACACGTACCCATGCTGAGACTTGAATTATGAAATAATTAAAAAATGCAAAGAATTTACAAGATCCAATTGTATAGGAATAGCTCAATGTAAATCCTTGAATGATCTGTAAATAGTTGTCGAAATTATAACCATACAATCCGAGCATATCAATGAGCACGATTGTGCGCATATAATGCAATGCTGGACGTGCCTGTACGTCACGGAAGGTTCGTCGACATAATATAATGAACGCCAACAAATTAAATAATGTACCAAAAATAACCATGAATAGACTGTAATAACCGTAAACAGTTATATCACTGATATATGAAACTGTAACTATACTACTTGAATCATTTATGCTAATCGTCATGTTGTTATTGCTAATATTGACCATCGTGCTCAAAAAAATGTCAGATAATCTAGAAAATGATTAATAACATTTCCTTCTATGCCACAATTATTTATTCTCACTTCATATACATACATTACTACTTTTGATACTAACAATAAAAAATATAAAATTCTTCAATTGATGACAAAATAAATCTGAAATTCTGATATTTTGCGTTACATTTCTAATTTAGTAGAAATTCTAATACTTTAAAATAGAATTATAGTTCTATGCTCTTTGACAATCTAGCTTCAGAATTTTCGTGATACTCATAGATCAGTTTATAAATAGCCTGAAGAAAAATTTTAGAATACAAAGTTTATTCGTACGATAACATCTCATTTCTTGAAGAGTACTATAGATCTCTCAATTGTCAGTACACTTTGTACAACACAATTTCATTCTTAATGCTGCGCAAAACAAATTTCTACCGAATGTATTTAATAAAGGATATCACTATAGAGAAGAAAGTATGTGTCTATATGTAAGTGAGCAATAATACTTTTCTTCTATCTTATACTACATTCATATTCACGCTCTCTCCTTCCAGAGTGATTGTATTATTCCTATCATTAAACTAAAATACTCCTAAATAATTGTAAACAAATTACAGATAAACATTTCTGTGTGTATTATACCCATCTCATTCTAAGCGAACTGCGAATAAAAACTTTTGACTGATCTCTCCAATGTAATGTGCAAAAAGTTAGACTTCGATAATATCTCCTTTTATTTAAATAAGAACATGAATGTTCTGTGTGTATTCTGTCAATTCTTCGAAGCGAGAAAAATATGTTGTGAAAGATAAGTGTATAACATAAAGATATATATATATAAATATAATTGCTAGCGACAGAAAAACAAAGGGAACAAGAAAAGCATATAAACAACGGCAGTAAGAAATAAGATAAAAATAGAACAAATTATCTCAGATATTCCTTCTCATATAAATAGAACAGAAATATATCTATTTTTTGTCTCACTTTCTTTGACAAAAATAAAAGGAGATTCAGTATCATCAAATCCATATTTTATCATGATAAAACGATCGTTCAGTGTCTTGGACAAGTAATCGCCTTACTAATAATTGTCAAATGGAATACAATAGCATATTGAAATAAGAACTATTTTGTTCAGATGATTTATCATATCATTGAGGGACACAAATCCAGAGAATCTCGCTTCAGCAAACATCTTTTTTATCCAAAAATCACGAAACGTGACAATCCAACCGAGAAAAAAAACATCATTATAATATTTAAACACTAATGGATAAGCATCACTTCTTTTTCCGCATGATTTATACATTTTCTCACCTACTTTGTTTTTAAGAATGATGCCATTATTAGTTTATTTTTAATCTGCAATATTTTTCTCTATGTATCATTTATTTTTATACCTAACATCATATCAGCTACCACTGCTCTCACAGGTCTTAAATTAAAATATTCTTTTAAAGTTCATCATGGTATTAATTTAATATAGATTATCATTGAATCAGAGCTAAACAACTCCACTCAACTCAATTACTGAGTTGAAATGAATTGAATCGGACATATCTTTTTACAGTTGATAAATTGTGTCGAGTTGAATTGAGTAAAATTTTGTGAATTGGAATAAATTGAACTGAGCATAATTCGCAAATACCTATGAATTGAATTGGATACTTTTTTGAGTTGAGTTGCCCAGCTCTGTATTGGGTGTGGGTGTGAGTGTGGACGAATAGATGAAAAGAATACTCACATTTATACGATATTAGTAAAATAGGTTATTCCTTCTCCACTTACATGCGTATGGATTTATGATTGATTAATAAAAAACATAAATGAATTTCTTAGATAATTATAATTATATTATATTGTGAGGCTTTTCTGGGCGTAGTTTCCTCATCCACCCAATATTGCCGTGATCTTTCAATACATCAGAATAATTCTGTTATAAAAAAACGCATTGAATCTTGAGGGCGCGGGTATTCTATTTCATCGATTATGTTTATAAAAACACTGCGCAATAAATGCTCGTCATCTCTATGACAGTCTCTCTATAAAATCTAATTATTTAAAATAATTTTATATCAAAGAAAAATAATATTCTTGTTTATTTTCGCCAAAAGTAAATCGGTTTAGTCAAATATTTTGTTAGTTTTATTAAAGCCTTCATTTTGTAAACAGTAGTTGAATATGCTTCTACTTTTTTTTGACAAAATCAGTTCAAATGATGATTATTTTCCGATAATAAAAATATTAAAATTGGTATAACATTCTCGTTAATTTTATCAGTTGTGAGATTTTATATTTGAAATCAATTGAAAATGTTCATTTTGTACAATGAATTCTAAATTTATGTTAGAGAGTGATCGATCAAGTATTAATGTATGAATATTAGATGTAAAACGTAAGAATTCAATTACTTTTATAAATTCATGTTTAATGTATTAAGTTGGTTTAACAGAAGAATATGGTTAAGAATTAACGAAAAAAAATTTTCATTTTTATTAAGAGTAAGTTTTGTAGAATTTGGAAAATATTTTCTACAAGAAATCATCGATTCTTCATTATTATCTTTCCCATAGATTGTATCAGATTTTCTACTAAACGACAGAAATAAAATTTCACATCATACTAAAAATAAGTGAATCTATTTCAACCTGTATGGATTTGTTGAATAGAAAATAACATGATAATCAGATGATTTGATAATATCGTATGAAAATCATTCCCCATATAGTGAATAGAAAATGAAGTTAACCAATAAAACTTGAAGGATATACGTGTTTGTGTGAGATGAATATAATATTCATCTATACCCCATACCCACACCCTGAATTGCTGACTTGAGCGGAATTAAACAACAAATCAAACTTAATGGATTAAACTAAATTGACCCACTCACACCCTCATTTTCATTTTAAAAATTATAATGTGGTTCCTGTATCCCGAGAGACACAGGTGTGGATCGAACTCAATGGCACTGCAGTGTCGAGACGATCTCTAGCACATCAATCATCCAAGTAAACTCGAATGGCTAGCGCCGGCTTTCTAACCGACGAGAACAGATACTACACTTTGATCTAAGCCTATGAAAGACCGAGAAGCGATAAGAAAACAGTCGAATTCAATTGATTTATCTTCACACTGGTCATACACATTATTAATATGACTCATATGCGATGAATATTTCGCAAGAATATTATGTAGGACGTAGATGTTGGTGTAAATGAAGTAGAATATAGACCCGACTTTGAATTGGAACTGAGCAGACAAATTAATTCTACATTTGTTTTTGCCAGTCTCATATAAGCCATCATAAACGAAAATAAAATTCGGCATTTCAAATTTCTGATTCATTTTTTCCTCTATTTTCATAAGAACATTCTAGTAACAATTCTGAATTATTATTTTGAAAACCTTTTATCTGTTGCTTTGATAGAAAGTACATGATATTTTTTCGTTTTCATTTATATTTGAAGTCGAATTAATGTACATTACTAATTATTATGATCATAGAGATTTATCTACAATATTCTTTTTTTGTCTGTAATTTACATGTATAATTATACTTTTCATACTATATATAGAATAAATGAAATAAAAGAGTTATTATTATAATCCAATAGAATATTTCTATACTTTTTCTCTAAGATTTATATCCGTAGATTATTTGAAAATTCCAAAATATAATTCTGGAAAAAATTTTCTTTTCTTTCTCTACTTACAGACGTCATGCAATCCGTAGACATAGAAAAAAGGAATAAGCACTCGCTTGTGTGTTCGTCCGCGGATGACGAGTCATTTTTATTCTTCCAAGATATTCTAGTCGCGAGAAGGAAATCTTTCTCTTTCATTCTATCTCTTCGTTGCATTTCAAATTGACTTCCTTTTACACGACTATATCATACAACGATAGAACGACAGAAACATCACATAATCTATTTTAATTTCACAATAAAAATTGAACAAGTAAAATAGATATTCTAGCATATTAAATCATTTTTAAATGGGTTGTGGTTTTAGTAATATAATTGTAATTAATCTTAATCGAAATAATTCATTTTATTATACTGGTGAATATGTAAATGGAACTGTACAATTAAATATTATGGATGGAAAATTAGAAGCAAATGAAATATATATAAAATTAATAGGTGAAATTGGTTATACAACAACTCGTACTGTTTCAGATGGTAGAGGTAATACACATACACAAACACAATATCATCATGTGCCTTTTTATTTTTCTAAATTTACCCTTGCACAACCTGAAGTAGAACAACAACAACAACAACAACAACAATTAGTTTATAATGAAGGACAATATTCATGGCCATTTCAAATTCTTTTAACTGAACATCTTCCACCGACTATCAATCGTCCTCAATCATATCCACATGTTCGATATTATCTACAAGTTGTTATAGATAAAGTATGGTATAAATCAAATACAAGAGAAACAAGATATTTAAGTGTATTTCCTCATGTTAATCTATTACAGAATCCTCAATGTTTAATTTCAACTACATTTGGTAATAAAAATAGAAAAGATATTATTTTAAAAGGAATTTTAAATAAATTAGGAATGATTCCTGGAGAATCAATTATTGGCACGTTAGAAATTGAAAATCCACGTAAAGTATTAATTAAATGTATTAATGTTATTTTATTACAAAACTATCAAATTGGAGCAAATTCACGAAAATTTAAGATATTTGAAACAACATTACCAGAAATTATTAATCTTAAAAATGAACAAATTCGAGAAACATTTTCCATAATAATTCCTCCAATTGTATTACCTCCATCATATAACTTTCATGGAGGTCTTCAAGCAGTTGCCAATGTTCATATTCATTATCTAATTAAATTTGCAGTTATAGTCGAAGGAATATTTGCTGATTTTGATATTGATATACCGATTATATTAGGAACAGAACCTAATGCTAATCCTTATCCAGATCAACAACAAATATTTCATTCTGTAACTGCTGCTGAAGTTCCGAATCATGGACAAACAGAATTTAAGGATAATGATCCGCCACCTGACTATGAGTCTGCCGTACGAAATATGTAAAATATTAAGTCGTCAAACATGTACATCTTCTTTTATGTTAAATTATCTGTTTTTTTAAGATTGTCGTCTTGTAAATCTTTATTGTTTCAGTTCTACTATAATATATTTTTCATAGTTTCTTATTTTCCTTTTCAAATTAAAATGTGGTTCCCGTGTCCCGAGAGACACAGGTGTGGACCGAACTAAACGGCACTGCAGTGTCGAGACGATCACTAACGCATCAGTAAATATGACTCATATGTGATGAATATTTTGCAAGAAGGAAGAAAAAAATTCCCCTAACTCATAGACATAAAGCTGATTCATAGGTGACCAATGATTACCCTGCTAACGATTATGGCATGATATTACATATAGAAGACAACTGTAATCGAACTGCGACATCTTTCTATTTTATTTTATTTTAAGAAAATATTTCTCTGGCAAGTCAGCGTTAACACGAGCCTGCATCTTTTTATCATCGCAACATGTATTTAATAAGTTGAAATCTTTACCTCTTGTAGTAGTTGTAATAAACAACTTCTCTCAAAACACTATGGAATGCGACATCTAGTTTACTTTTACATATATCGTATCGATTAAAGAAAAGAAAACGAATGAAAAATGTAAACGCAAGCAAGATGTGGTGTCCTTCAATGTTTTATGGGAAATTTTTTTTTATAAATTGACGAAGCAATATATTCAATATAAGCAATAATAGTCATAAAGATGTCACGGTACGTTAAACAATTAGCATGTCGATTTCATCCAGAAGCAATATTGATTGAAGATTATCGTGCTGGTGATATGATTTGTCCAGAATGCGGATTAGTCGCTGGAGATCGAATGATCGATGTTAGTTCTGAATGGCGTACATTTTCTAATGATAGTGATACTAAAGATATGAGCCGTGTCGGTGCTACACAAAATCCATTGTTCAGTACCGATAATTTTCATACTTTTACGACGTCAGGAACAGGTGCTGGAGCACTTGATGAATCTGGTAAACAAAAGTATACTAATAGATCTAATCAAATGTCATCTGAAGATAAAGCATTAAAAACTGGTTTTGATACTATTCGACAAATGGCTGGACGTATTTCTTTATCAACTCGAATTATTGATCGTGCATGTTTAGTTTTTAAACAATGCTATGAAAATAAATGTGTACGAGGTTATTCACAAGATGCAATTGCTGCAGCATGTATTTATATAGGCTGTCGACATGAAGGCGCACAACGTACAATTAAAGAAATTTGTGCAATTGCAACAAGTGCATCAAAAGTAGAAATTGGTCGATGTTTTAAAAAAATCATTAGAAAATTAGTAGATAATAATCAACCTGAATCCATGAATACTAAGAATTTGATACCTCGTTTTTGTAGTCAACTTCAACTTAACGAAGAAATTCTTATTAAAAAAACAGCTATTCATATTGCTGAACAAGCAAAAGAATTTTGTGATATACAGAGTCGTGCACCAGAATCAATTGCAAGTGCATCGATTTATATGGCTTGTGCTGCTGCTGATGACCGACAGCCATTGAAAGATATAGCAACTGCAACTGGTGCAGCAGAAAATACAATTCGACAAGTATATAAAAAATTATTACCAAAAGCTGCTGAATTATTTCCAAAAGATTTTATATTTAAATGTCCATTGACTAATTTACCAATGTAATAAAAAAATAAAATTCATTTTTGAAGGATGGAGTACGTTCTTTCGATTGTGTATATAATGCTATTGCATATCTCAATAGACACGAATACTTTTTTTCATTGTTTATTTTTATTTTTATAAGATAATTTGTTTCTTAAACATTATCTAAAGTCATATAATAAAGAAGCGTGATGTTTTCTATATTTTTGTAATTTCATAATATCAATACTGTATGTTGTAACGTAATGAAGGAAAGAAAAGAATTACACCATCTTGAGGGTGTGGGTGTGGGTGGGTTTCATATAACACTACCCACACCCACCGTTGAGGTTAGTCCACTCTGAAACAACGTACTATCGTCTTGAGAATACACTAATTTTATTTATTTTTGAGCAGCATGCATCCAGCTCTCTCAAAATCGTTAGAATCTTTGACACAAAAAGTAATTTTAAATGCACAATAAAATAACGCACATACGATATAAATAGTGATATGAATAAATAAATGCATTTTACAACAAAATCTTGAAAATATAATATACAAGTGTTTATTATGTTTGTTCATCACCCATACTCACTCTTGTTGCTCGTCGTTTCTTATCGGTCTCTGTAATTCCTGTTGATGCTGTTCTTTTCGATTAGTTTTGCAGGGTATTATCCAAGGTATTGCTCCTCTCAACAGTAGCGTACCCGCAATAAAAAATACCATTGCAGCCAATGCAAGAACACAAAATTTAAATTTGGATGTTTTGTTCCAATGCCAATCCCAAAGTCCAGCTGATCTTTGATTAAGAGGAGGACCATAACATATGTATGTTTGATTGATCTAGATATAATCATCATAAATTTCATAGAATGATTTAATTAATACATAGGACACTACAAAAGTTTTTTCATCAGCTCTTAGAATAAATACTCAAAGGTTGATTGTAGTGTATTTTTTTAAAGTATTGTCTTTCAACATCGATGTATTTGCGCATTCGATTATTTTTCGAAATCTCACGTAATTGATTTTTGAGTTTTGGGAATAAACAGAAGTCACAGAAATTATGATGAGGAGAATATAGAGAAAATTCTAACGGTATCGACTTGATTGCATAAACAGAATAGCCATCATTCTCTTGTTAGAACTTTTATTTCGATGAAGTTTGGTTGGATGGGAATCAGTTGACAGATGTTCGAGGACGACTTGAGCTGACAATATCTTCAACATCCACATTATTTCGCTGGAATTCATGAAACCAATCTTTCAGTCATATAAAATCATAGTGCGAAATTGTTGACGTGGAAGTTAAAAACTCATACCGCAAATGATCTGATAGGTAATATGTGGGAGTCTGAAATTTTGCACAAAATTCTAAATATGTTTAGACATTATAATTGAATAGATGTCCTCAAATTATCACTTCTACAAGAATCAGACGAAAAAACTTTTGTAGTCCCTATGCATTTAATAAGGAAGAAAAGTAGGATTGTACCTGATATTTCTGTGCTTCATCCCATGCTTGTTCCTTGAGACCTTTTGATAAACCTTCTCTCACTAAAACATAGCTTCTTTCATGTTCATCCAGCACCGTTACTTCCCAAATACCTTGAAATTTCTTTCCACGCCAGTCGATGTTAACAGAATTGACTTGACATTGACGACTGACATATCTATTTAGTTTATAAAACTCTCTCCAAGCAGTAACTACCCATGCAGCAGTACAAAAATAGGTGACAATAATAGCAAATACATGACGTATTTTATTCCAATCAACCATTTTTTCAGAGCATCTCTAAAACACATAAGAGTAATAAAGGATGCAGAAAATATAAACTCATTAATCATTTACAAAAAACCCTTTTGTAGAGAATTTATTCAAATATGTAATGCAATGTTCAGATTCGTAATGAAAAAAAAGAATTTTTTGTGAACAAAGTTAATCATAAAAATATCTCATAAGATCTTTTCTATACATTATAAATATCGAAGGTGTTGTAATAGTGGATAAAGGATTAAGTTAATGTTACCGTACCTAGAGAAGTGTTGAACATCCTTTTAAATGATACCTCTTTTGTCTTTTTTACTAATACGTGATCTTTTTTTCCCCTACTTCCTGCTTCTTCTTTCTTTCTTTCCTCTCGATATATTTTCTTTCTCTAGTCTCTTATAATAACACGTATCATAGAAATACGAAGTGTAACGTTATTATCATTATATTTCAGTGTTATTCGAGTAATTTACACCATTTCTCCTTTATTACCTTATATACATCGATTAGAAGCATACTATATCTCTCTTTTCCGTTACAGTTACTATATGGACTAAAAAGGTAAATCATCAAATCTATAATCATATTACTTTTTTTTTGAATATTTACTATCATATAGAATAATGGAAAAGCTAATCATTACAAT